GTATTTGACCACCGATGTCTCCGAAGCATTGCTCGTGTCTAGTGGGAACACCGGGTGAGCAATGACGAGGTCCATCGTCGTGTGTTGGGTGTGGATAGTCGTTCTCTAACAGCATTAATCGCTCTACACCGCCTCCGATGGCTTGGTCACATATTGCGTATGCCTGCCCATCGATTACCTTTCCGTGCTCTCTTCGCACGTGTCGGACAAGGCTGGAAGATGCGACGCGGCGGTCAGATCTTGACATGGGCTAGAGGCATGAAGAAGCTGGCTTCGGTTGGTGCAGCCCACCTTCCAGGTTGGGGCCCAAGAGATGAGGATTTTCTATGGTCAGAGACGCTGAGAGACATGGCCCTGAATAGAAGTCAGTGGCGCAAATGCTGTACGATCTGCCTGTCAAAATCCCGTGCCTCGTAAAAACCACAAACAAAAAATTTCAAAAAGTGTACGGTGAAACACCAAAAAAAATTTTTTATTCCACTTATTCCTAATCTCCTATTCTGACAGCTACATTCTTTCCCTGTACCCCAACCCCTCTCCCTCGTTATTGTTATGGCGTTGGCACCCAGCTTGTTCTCAAGCTGGTGTTATATATAGAGATATGATATGATTCATTTACTGAACTTTAGTTGTTTCTGAGCGAGTTTCCTTCTATCTAAAAACTGATTTTACCCCCGTGAAAATGGGTCAACTTCGTTTACCGGTTGTCAAAGTAAGTCAAAAGCGATCAAACTTGTATGTGTGCAAAATATTAGTCATTAAAGACAAAAATTTCTCAACTGTTTTCTGATTGAAATTTCGATAAATTTTGTTCATGATCAAGTTCTTCCGTGTTCACCATTAAAAAGATCTTGGATTGATCGCTTCAAGTGGCAGGGGTTCTTCCGATACTCTTTTCCGGTTTCAAATAGCTGATTTCGCATGGCACTTGTATTTCTTGGAATGTTGAACCAAATGCGATGGCCACCTAAAACGAGTAGAAGTGCGGGTGTGTGAGCAGGAAACAAGAAAAATTGTGATTTTTTTAAACAAGAATATATGGTTATATGAAATAAGCATATTTTGCTGGTAGACCCCTTTCTCTGATCATTTCCTGTTTGGATAACGTCTAATGCGACACCGAGACCACTGCACAACCGATACCAGGTAATTGTGGGAGATAGCTGCTTTTTTGCTAATGGTATCGAGGTAACTAAATACATGGTCCTCATCTAGAAGAGTAAAGAGTACCGATTTTCAATAATTTGTCAAGAGTGTGTGCGTGTATACCTGATTGTTGTGTTCGTGTCTGGCTTTCGTATTTAAAATGAAATTACGGTTTGTTTCTGAATTCGCTAGTCCTACGCGTGATGTCACACATACCATTGTAAATCATTTATTGTTCGTTTAAAATATTATGTTTACATCCGTCCATTTGATTTGTACCAGCGCAGGAGACACTTCCTCCTCCTCATCGGTTTAAGTTTCACTGGTTCGAAGTTTGCTCATTTTGGCGCCGTAAAGATTGGTGTTACTAATAATAATAAAATTGCTCATTCCACCACATGTTTAATGCGTTTCATTTGCGACCGAATACTTTGTGCTTACTGATAAAACGCTCTATGGACAGCTGTTTTTTTTGGCTTTTGTTGGGACTCTTTAGAAATGCGTGTAGTCAGGACTCGAACCGTGGAATTGCAGGCTGCTAGTGCAGAAGACCCGTAGCTGGTAGCTACAAGGTCGACGGGGAACAAACACCTCGAGGAAGTGGTTATTTCAATTCGAGACGTTGTGTTCGGGTTTGGTCTGTTCGATGCACACAAGTTAGTAAGACACTATTTTGAATTGATAATTATTCGGTCAATCGATATAGTTCATCGATCGTGGATAATGGATGTGTGGACTGTGAAGCCTAAGACGATAAAATCTGGGTCTTCGATGTGTTGGTCCCCGGTTCCACCCATACCATTGGAGAAGTTCTGTTTCAGGAGTCAGAAGTGACTTCAGGACAGCTATCTATCTCTCTTGGGATAAATATTTCATCTGTGCTTTTTAAATGGATTAGGAAGTGTTTGAGTTCGGCTAGGCACCAAGATCGTCGGTGAATGCACGGCTTATCACTGGCAGTAATGGAACGATTTCATTAGGTTGTCTGCATGCTGTATCTCAGCTTTTACTTTTCACTGATCGATCAAACAGGCAAAGGGAAAAACTGAAATCGTAATAGATGCACAAACTCCCAAGCTTCCAGCGGTTGTACAGAGGAAAACAAATCTGAACAACATCCGGATTAGCCTGATTTTGCGTGCTGCTGAGCCAAACATACGAGGATGTTTGTGTTGACTAATTTGAGAAAAGGGTGATTATTTTCTCGACATTAATGTATCATCTCATGTTCGAATGAGTTCCATTGAAAAGAGTTTTCAAGCGTAGGTCAGGATGAGTGTATGAAAACTCTAACGAGGACATTAGGGTCACAGATGTCGTTAGCCTCACTGGACGGGGACCCCGAGGTTATGGTAAACGGTGTTTTTTATTACACACTCATGTGATGAACAGCAGACGTGGAAAACCCCGTAGTCACGAGGATCTGCTGTTCAGTGATGGAAAACGGTAACCTGAGCCACTACGCCACCACGACCCTGTTAGAGAACCTGAGTGATATGGCTGGGTGGCGCTTGTGCATCTACTCAATGTTCTTACAACCCCAGTTCTTATGAATTATCTAATGGTTGTGAAAACTGAAGCTGCATAGGTCCGGGGGTCGTCAACAAATTCAATACGTTTTTCTTTTCTGAACTCACATTCTCCTCGGGGAAACACGGTCCAAGGATTTCCAGTAGCATGGCATCTTCTTGCACAGCGCTCATAAAATCATGAAAATTGATCTTTCCATCATGATCCATATCCTATTTCCGAGAAAGAGACATTCACATTTCCATGAGGTATGATGATGAACGAACGCAAAGTTTACAATGTTTTTGTATACTGAACAGATGACTACTCAGTTATGCGTGTGTATTCAAAGGAAGTTTTGTACGGGTGAACCCACATGCAAGGATAAATCATCATAGTCTCAAGCTCTTCAAAAGGAGCTTACATCAAGGCTTAACTAATCACCGTCTTTTTGTAGTCCTATCAATTGTTTATTTGCATGATACGGTAATCTAATTAGGTGCACACGATTCGACAAGTAAAGTTGAATTGCCCTTATTTTGGAATATCGTATGACCTAGTCATAAAATCGAACCTCTCACTGCGAGGTGTCAAATAATGATTGTTCAACATCGGCATCGGAAATTCATTGGCATTGTAACACGTACGATTTGGTTAATTGTTTCGTAACATTGTGTTGTCATTAAATGATTTCAGATGGAAGAATCATTTGTGCACGACAGGCTCGGCGTGAAAATCCTCATCTTAGGTGGTTTTGGTTTAGTAATTCAGTGTTCTCTGACTTGAATA